GTATATTATTCCAACGCTGTATATCATGGCAATAATGCCTAAACTGTAGGCTTTTACACACAATGGCCTTTTGTTGTGCAGGTTATTTATTGTGCTGGTGTGAGGTTGTGCAGAGCTGGTGGGTGAGTGCATCCAGGGGCTTGTATTGTTAGGGAATCAGTGGCTCTTGTTTGTGGAGCTGGGAGGGTCTGTTAACAATGCCTTTTTTATGTCCCAGAGTGCGTGCCTGTCGGCAAACGTCCCCTCAGAATTTTTGTGTGTTGTTTTGTTGTGTGTGTGTGGATCAGGGACGGCGAACATAACCCTCTCATTGTTTGCCACGTCCAAGTAGACCAGTTTTATATCAGGCACATGTGAGCATTAGTGTGTGTGTGTGTTTTGAATATACAGTATGAGTGCAAATTATGTAGTGCCGATGTGTGGAAAGTGCAGAGCTGAAGGGGTTTACTGCCAGTCCTTCCTAATGGAGCCTTTCACTATCCCTCCATTCATGTGACGATATGGTGACGGAGAAGGGGGAGCCGGGGATTAAGGGGGTAGAGGCAGTGCCTTGTTAAAGAAAAAGAAAGGGTTTGAGTGTGTCGATTGGATTAACTTGTTTGGGCTTATTAAGAGTGGAGACACAGCCGCTTGTTAAAAGCACTGCATGGGGCGTCCTACAGTGAGACGGCAGGGTCACCATTCAATTAGGTCGAAGCCCCGCCTCCTCCGCTCATTGTGTAGGCTGTCTGCCAGGACCTCGGCTGCTCCTCCACTGGGAGGGGGGCTTCACTGGAGACCCTTTAACTGAGACAGTCAAGCCTCCATAGGAGCTTGGCAATTGGTTTTATATAAAAATAACTACGGGATAATATTAGCTAGGACGAGATGTTTTTGCTACAGTATGCTGATCAAAGACTTGAGTTTCTATGTCAATGACAAATTATTAACTTTTCCAGCTTTGTACCATGGTTTGTAACACATTTAACACCAGTTGTTATCTTTTATCTGATTCTGCAAAACCATAGATTGCAGCTATCTTTTTATTTCTTATGCCTATGATTTGAATGTTATGCATATGTGGAAGGCAACTGTATGGTAAAAAGATGTAGAGATTATCGTCATTGTAAATAAACCTTGGTTGAGAATGGTTAGGGTTAGGGAAGTTAATGCAAAACATTTGTTGCAACAAAATGTGAAGTCCAACCTCCTACACATACATTAGGGCACGCCTCAGGACACAGATCCTGTGGTGTGAATATGTCTAATATGAGCAAAACTCCTGGGTTCACTTTCCTACAAAACCTTATTTAATTTAACAAAAGAAGCCAAAGTTCACACATTTGTTATGCTTTTTAAACACAAACAGCCTTTTCAGAGCTTTGCATACACGAACAATCTGATCAAAGAATAAGCAAACAAAACTATGAATCTGACCAAACATTTAACCCATAGCTAAAATGATTGCATATATTCTGATGTTTCAATGCCCAGCGACAGTATCTGCTGCTTTATTCTTTCTTTTACCTGAAACATGTAGTTTAAAACACACACACACACACACACACACACACACACACACACACACACACACACACACACACACACACACACACACACAGACTCCGTTTATTCACCCATGACCACCCTGCAACACCCCGCACTTGGCAGGATGCTTATCTGGGCAGACAGCTTTGGGCGCGGGGAGCCATCTCTTCTGATCTCCTCTGCAGTTTAAGAACCTTTTAACTTAGAAATAGCCCTCTGCCAAGCCCACCGCCTCTTGATTCCGGCTTATTCCCTCATCTCATGGGACTGATCTTCCGCCCCCATTGCAAACCCTGCAGCAGCGTTAGCAGAACGGGAAAGAGCCAATAGACATCCTGGCTTTTGAGATATCCCCGCACTGGTGTAATAGGAGACCTGTGAGTGGATTTGATGAGTGAGTGAGGTGCAGGTGGTTTTTTCAAGTCTGTGTATGGCAGTGTGAGTGTGAGTGTGTGTGAGTGTGTGTTCTCACACCAGCACCTTACAGGGATTGACCCGGGCATAACAAGCTTTTTGCGGGCAGCTGGTTGATGGGTCACAGGGTTTTTGGTTGAGATAATTTCCTGCCTCTGATAGACATCTACTAAGTAGTAGAATAACCTAATAGGAGGAGATGAGGGGAAAGGGGGACATGACAAACAAGTCAAAGACTTGCTCCTTTTGCCTCGCTCTTAAAGTCAATAATGGGAGAAAATTGGTTCTTGAAATTGAATTGAAAAAAAGTGGGTCTCTTTCAGCGAACTCTAATGCCTCCGAATACATTTGGTGAACAGCAAATGGAGAAAAATGGAGGGTAGTTACACGATTGTCTTTCATTTCACCGAGGGGAAAACTGTGGAGGTATCCCCCCGTTAAGACTAGCTTTTAGTCTCAATCTACACCACGTGTCCTTTCACTCCCTCTCAACCACTATCTTTTCACAAATGGGCTTTGAGGATGGGGTCGTTGTGAAATTAGTATCCTCACAGAGAGGACACAGAGAAAGGATTATGTGAATAGCCAGTAATGAGCTCAAAGTGCCTGTGTGTTTGGGCCAGGCCTGCCTGTGTGTGTGAGAGGAAATGGCACTGCAAGTGACCTTTTTTGCTCAAGCACCTGGCGAGAAATAGAGTGGCCTCTCTCTTCCATCTGCAACGTGTGTGTGTGTGTGTGTGTGTGTGTGTGTGTGTGTGTGTGTGTGTGTGTGTGTGAGGAAGAGTGAACTATTTAATTAACAAGAAATTCTGAGTCTAAAGATTTAATGTACCTACATTTATCATGGAGAAGCAGCATTTTCACCATGTCAGATGTTTGTGCTAAAAAGTGTTGTATTTAGTTGCTTGTAAAACGTTTTAAAAATACATATTTTTGAATGAGATTGTAAAGTGTGTTATTCAAGCATCAGGGTCTGAGGTCAAATTAAATGTTTTGTTAAAAAATATTTGTATGAGTGAAAGACTTACTTCTTTGAACGGGTGCTGCTTTTTTCTGTAACACCTGCTTCTAATCTTTTAACTATTCAAAACAGGAAAGTCATTCAACCTTAATTATAGGCAGTAAATTGTGTTGTGGTAGTTTATCGTGCTTCCTTCCTCCATTTCTCAATCCATACTCGAGCACTTTACTTTACACAGCATCTGTGCAGGGAGGGCTGTTAAATTTAGAAAATTCAGATATAAATTATATTTGAAATTGTATTATCTGCATATCCACATTCTGACTAGTGAAAAGCAATCATTTATAATAAAAAAAAAACACATCTTGAATAGATATGAATTGTTAGATTTTGTGCACTAACATTATATTAAACTGCACATACACATATTCTATAAATGTCAATACTTTTTTTTAATTATGGTTTTCCGACTAGATCCGTTATTTCAGGAGTAATGTTTGTGTAAAGGTTAGTTTGATTGAACGCTTCTATTAAGGGTTTAATATATTTGATGTTTTCACTGGTGATCCAAAATGTGCTTTATTCCTAAATTAGAAAGAACAGGAGCTGGGGCTTTATGGACTGCCATTAATTTATCTCGTAATCATTATAATTGCTTTCTTTAAATGATAATATATAAAACTAAGTAATGGACTGATGGCAGGTGGCTAAATGTTCATTTAGTGATTCACCGAGAAAATAAATAACAGGGGACAAGCCCCGTGACAGGCGCATGAGAAATCATTTTTCAATAATCTGCCACGCATCACGGCTGGAGACGCTAGCACTGACAGCATGGATGAAATATTCGCCTCCTTTGTTTTAATATGTGAGGAGACCGGCCGAGATGGAAACGATAGTGTTTCATATCGATGCATTTTGGACAAGAGACTCAAACAGAAGCAGAGCTAAGATTAAAGCCACAGAGTTTTAATCAAAGACAGCCATGCTTTTAGGCGAGACTGGGCTTCTGCTGCGTTGTATTCAGTACAGAAAGAGCACGCTGTCTTCCTGGAAACCTAACAATATGCGCTAAGTGAACTATAGAGGGAATCTCTATACTTATCATATAAAAACACTCTCTGGACCCAAATGGTTTGCTTCAGCTCTTCTCATCTGGCACATAATCCAAGTAGAAGACTTAGTAATCAGTCATCATTGTGCAATGTGACACTGGTATGTTGCTGATGAATGATACCTACCATGCTACTCGATTGTTGAGGGTTCTCCGTGAGGGAGCTGTGGGTTTTCTTACATATAAGTATAAATATATACATCTTTGTTTCCACTGGGGCTGTGATGGGCTTTTTGAGAGGAAACTAGCAGCAACTGCCTCAGTGTTCCTGAGTGAAGGTGGCTGTGGGGAAAAGGGGGAGTGCAGAGCTGGAGATTTATGGCCTAGAGGGAGATTGATTAGTGCCGTCACAAGCCCTGATGTACGGTTGGCAGTCTCCCCCTCCCAACCCATCGCATTTCCCACAAACACACACACATACAGCCATACGGTTCAACACACAGCTACACATACATCCCGACACCGCTCAGTCCCCCAGGCCTTTCCTGACAGTCCCCCAGAGCTGTTGCATGTTAAGTTGTAGCAGACAGACTGCTGTTTTCTCAGCATTACCATTTTCTTTGCCGTCCATAGATAACGCCATCAATCACCACATACACACTGCCCTGGAAGGAATGTGTCTGAGTGTTGCTACTTTCTGTGTGTGCCCGTGTGTTTGTTTTGAGGATGGTTTCCAAGACGGGAGATGCGGTTGAATGGCTGTGTGCTTGTGCTGTTTGAAGCTGCAGAGTGACTGGCCTGGACTGTGCTCTGAACCCGTGTCAACCGTGCTGCCCCAGTGCAGGTGTGTGTTTATCATTCAGCACACACAGCTGAGAGGCAGGCAGCTGTAGGCATGCTCTCGCAATTAAATCCCGGGTGAGAAACCTAGTCCATCTAGCCCTCAGCCAGATCCTGCCGCTTTTACCAGACACGGCATGGAGCTTTGACCTGGAATCATCCTGCTTAACTCACTCTCTTTATCTTTCTCTTTTCCTGCTGCAGGTTGGCCGCAGAACTCCCCACGGCTGTAGAACTGTGCCCACCTCGCCATGCTGGCCTGTCTGCAGAGGAGGCAAAACCCTCCACCCCAGCACCCGGTGTGTGCCAGCAAAACCCTGGAGCCCCCGCAAGCCCTTGGACGGAAATGTAAGTTTAAAAAGTGACAGTGAGCAACACAGGTCAGAAGTTCAGCTCACCCAAAGCTAAGGAATGAGAGAGGCTTGTGTTTGTCGTTTGTATTTAATCGGTCATGGTGAATGATGGAAAACGGGTTGTTAACCCCGACTGTGAATAAGTGAAGGAAAATAGACTTTCCGGTTCCTGTTGTTTGTCACTTGGTTCCCTTCTCTGAGGAATTCTAAACAGTTTCATTCGCTCCACACTTAGACCTTGGATTGCCATGTTGTTTGGCTACTCGTTGTGAGGGGGGCTGTTTAGCTGTGCTGATTGTGCAGTCGTGGCAACAGGGCTGAACAGACAGTGTTTAACGTGCCTCGCTGGCCCCGGGTGACCCTGATGGTCTGTAAACATTTACAGTGTCTGGCCCTGGCTGTGCCGGCCGCCTGTAAAGCATGACAGCTGCTCTGTTTGCTCCCCGAGCACCAGTACCTCTGTCCACTCACAAAATGGTGTAAAGGGACAGAGATGAGCCAGGGCTGAAAACTGTTATAGAGCTGGCAAAACTAGTTTCAACCAGTTTTGGATTAGAGGGCTGCAGCAGTCAGGCATCTGGAAGGTGAATTTCCCCCTGATTTTGTTAAAGCTTTTGGATAAGCTTTTTACATTGAGTCTTTTTTCTGATGAGGGGAAGAAAGACCCTTCCTCCTTATTGAATGCTTCTAGAGTCTTTAGTCGCTTTTGTTTACACGGCAGGCCTACGAGCTACCTCAAGCCGATTAAAAGGACTGGCGGATGGAGAGCACTAACCTACCAGTTTTCACCTCAGCTTAGAGAGGCTTAGCGGGAATAGCAGGTTCTGTGCTTCTTCGTCAGTGGAAATGATATCAGGCCTGTAAAAAAGAAAACGCGTTATTTCTCAGCTTCTCACTGGCCAATTAGCTACTTCTCAGCTCAACATCACACTCCAATCGCCTCCTACAGAGGAGACGGAAGTCACAAAATAAAGGTGACTGTGAGCCACCCCTGTCCTCAGATCTGGAGCTGTTGTTTTGCAGGTCTGTATGGATGGAGCTCTATAGGTGTGTGTGAAACAGAAAGGGAACAAGAGACATAAACAGAGCTCTGAGTGCATTTGGAAGGGGAGCTCTTCAGCTGAGTGGGTTTCAACTGGGCCCACTAATGAGGTTTAGAGAGGTGAAGAAGTGAAAGGAAGGACAAAGAGAAACTGCACAAAATAGAATTAGAGAAGATGGAAATGAAGGGGGGCAAATAGAGGGAGTCCTCAACAGTCGTCTTAATCGATTCCCTTCTTCCAATTTTGTAGGATTAGCCCACTTCCTCTTTATTGAGGAGCAGCCAGTGGGAGTCAGGACTTAAATCAATAGAGAAAAGAACAGTCTCCAGTTTTCCCTTTCCCTCTTACTGACCCTCTCTCTGTTACTCTCCCTTTCCCTCTCTCTCCTTCTCCACCTGTTAAAAACCTTTGATTGAAAGACTACCACAGTGACTGAGGTTCATAATGAGGATGTTTGAACATAATAGCCTCCTTTCTGTCCTTGGTGGAGGAGGGGGGAGCAAGTGTTGGATTTCCACCACTGTGCTGCTCCTGGCCTCAATACGGCAATTGTTCATCCAGGCCCAGCAGGGGTGCAGAAAGGCAGACAGTGGGTCTGGCTACACAAGTGGGCACACTCAGGTCACCGTGCTGAGCAGGTCCCCATGATTGATTGTTCATGTCCAAGTTTGTGCCAACGTGGAATGGGGGTTGTGGGTAAGGTGACCTGAGCTCCCAACAGGCGGCTGAATACCAGAATACACCCTCAAAGAGAGAGAGAGAGAGAGGAGACGAGCGAGAGCACAGGAGGGGGATTACCTGGCAGCAAGGCAGAGGTGAGCTTTGTCATCTGCATCTGCTGTCCTTTACACAAAAAGAGTGTGTGTGTGTGACAACTGGGGGGGCAGAGCAGTTGGAATGACAGGGCGAGGAGGGTTTTAGCAAAAGTCCCTGCATTCAGATGCCGAGTGGCTGCACAGATCATTGATGCGACTCCCATTAAAAATCCCTCATACCCTCAATAAAAAAGGACTTAACTGGCTCTACCATCAGCTGGAAGCGTTCAGATCTGCTCGCCAGACAATCAATTTCCCCCAAGCGCACAGAGCTTAGCGGGAGAAACGGGAGGCGGAGAGCGGGATGTTTCCATTATCACAGGCCGCTCTGTGTCTGGACTCGGGGGGGCTGGGTGAGGTACTGTAGAGCGGGGAGTGCAGGGTAGAGAAAGGAGCGAGTGCCAGAGGGAGATGGGGAAAGACAGACAAGTGGAAGAGAGAGATAGGAGCCGAAAGGGAGACGGAGAAGCTGGCTTTTCAAAAAAAACGTTGACCGCCCGCCCTTAAAAATATCATATTGGATTAGCCTCACAGATATTTTTTTCTTTGGACGTAGAGTTAAAAGGAGTGCAGCACATTACTTGAATTATAAATTATAGGCACTTGCTTTCACTAGGTCCAAATTCCACGCATATGTGGCTGCACTCTCCAGCGCCAGCCCCTGTCATTTTTAATTAAATCCCCCCTTATGGGTGACATTTGTAGCTTGCCCCCTCCTCCGTCCTCCGCTCTCTATCACTGCCCTAGATGGAGACATGAAAGGCAGAGACGGCAGCGGGCCTCTCATCGTGTTGTGCCCCAGAGAGAGGGCACCCATCCAGACAGATGAGAAGGAAAGGCCCTGCGAGGGTAGAGGGGTGAATAGATGCCACTGACCCCGGCCCCCCACAGCCAGCGGCACCCTCCCTCGCTCCCCATCGCTCTCCTTGATTGTCGTCCTCCACTGTGGGTCTGAAGGTCCAGGGAGCAGGGGTGAGTGGAGCAGGAGGTGCATTGGTCCAGTGATGAGTAACACTGAGATGGCTGGACAGGAGGCCCAGCAGCCCCCCCCAACACCCTGCCTCCTCCCTGGCCCAGACAGCAATTACTCTGCCACATGTCAGCTCAAGAATAACAGGTCCAGAATCCCTCAATCGACTGGCTCATGGGGATATTTCTTCCTGGCTATTTTCCAAAATGATGTCTTTCAGATTTCAGCAGGTTTTCATTTGTTTAATCAGAACTGAGTGGTTTCATTTCAGCCATGCATGACATTTTACGAGAATGTCGTTGTCACACTGGCTGTCCGTGTTTGTCCCTTTTTATTCAGACCCTCTGTTGTAACCGCACAGCTTGCTGCCCCTCCCATACACACACACACACACACACACACACACACACACACACACACACACACACACACACACACACACACACACACACACACACACACACACACACACACACACATCAATTGTTGTCCCCAGTTGAATGTCTCCTTACATACATGACCTGCTCACATGTACAAACACACAGGACCTGCAGGCCATACCCTCCCCCCCGTGACACCACCCAGGAGGCCCGAGGTGCCAATCAGCCAGGTGTAGATGAGAAGTTCCCAGAAGGCCTGATATCCCAGGTTCATGTGGTGCGGGGCAGGTTTAGCCCTCTTCAGTCTTGATCGACAGAGACAACCTGGGCATGTCACACGCAGCCTCAGGACATGACATGCGGGTTCACCTGGGGATTGTAGTTTTCCTAATAGCCCTGTGCCTCGCAGGCGGAGCTGCCGGAGCCATTAGTTTGCTTTGCTTTTAGCAGCTTTTCTTCATAAGCCACCACACCACTGAGAGAGAATATGCTCAGGTAATGACCTCTTCCACCTCTCCTGCACTGTTGTCTGAGGCGGCGCGAGACGTAACAAGGGAATTAGCTGGCCATATCAAATTGCAGCAGGAACGGCTGTTAGGCGGCAAGGAAAAAAACACGTGGGGAGGGTTTTCAGTTGAATATTTAAATGTGGTCACGAGCAGCAGCAGGAATAACAACCCTTCCCCTGATTGCCTCAGTACCCTGGAGGTGGAGGGCATAAAGTAGGACTGGGGGAAAGGGAATGGAGATGGAGCGAGGGAGGGAGGGAGAGACTATGCATGCACTTGACCTTTTCCCACTGATTGAACTACCTCGTTCCTAACTCCCATTTGGAATTCCACAGAGTGCCCACAGAGACTGTCATTATTCCACAGTCTGCAGCAGGGAAGCAGAGGTCATGAGGTATTTTTCATAGTGAAAGGTGATTGACAGCTATCCATGGCCTGCCTTCTCCTGGGTGCCTGCTTATGCAATCTCATTTTGGGCATGGTCACATGACAATAGCCTTCATCAAATTGTTATACTGCAGATACAGGATTTTTAATCGAGGTTTGCTTTATTTCAGAGGGGCAGCCCTTTGATATTTAATGTAATAGTCTTACCTCCTGCATACTACTAGCTCTTCTGTCATGTTGGCATCTCAATGCTGGCACACAGAGGATCATTTCCGGCTGGTGGAGTCCCACAGAGCCCTGCCTTCCCTCTGCCCTCTGCCTTCTGCTGTGAACACGGGGGGCGAAGCAATCTTATTGCCTTTGGAGGTGCGCTCGAGGAAGAAGCGCCCTGATTTAGTTTTGGTCACAGCGGGACTTGGGTTGAAAAACTGGTTCCCAGTTCCAAAGTCTCCAAGCTGGCATTTGAGCGTCCCAGGTGCACGGTATCGACACCCTCTGTCTTCGCCTGCCAGAGCATGGGGGTGGGGGAGGTGGTGTGAGCGAGTACAGAGAGTGTCCGCAGCCCCTTGCTGTCCCACAGGAAATGACACACAGCCTGGGCTATCTCAGCGCTGAGCCCACCACAGACTGACCATGTGAGGCGTTCAGGAGGGGCTGCACACTCCTGGCACGTTCCTAGAGTTTTAGACGTCTCTACGATACCAAAACTCTAAATAAAAACGTAGATTTCGGCCAAGAGTTGGACATAAAAAGTGTGATAGTAGGAAGAAAGGTTTAATTCCCCTTTTAACTTGATTGCCAGCAATTACTCTATTTGTGTCCAGTCACTCCATCCAAATTGTGAAAAAAGTACAGCACATTTAACTCGATGAATTAGATATCTGTTTTATA